GTTCCCACTTTGTTCCTTTGTTCTTATTTTGTTCCCACTTTGTTCCCATTCTTGTTCCCACTTTGTTCCCATTCTTGTCCCACTTTGGGGTTCTTGTTCCCACTTTGTTCCCATTCTTGTCCCCACTTTGTTCCCATTCTTGTCCCACTTTGGGGTTCTTGTTCTCACTTTGTTCCCACTTTGTTCCCATTCTTGTCCCACTTTGGGGTTCTTGTTCCCACTTTGTTCCCACTTTGTTCCCATTCTTGTCCCACTTTGGGGTTCTTGTTCCCACTTTGTTCCCACTTTGTTCCCATTCTTGCCCCACTTTGGGGTTCTTGTTCCCACTTTGTTCCCGGAACATGTTCCCACTTTGGGGGTTCTTGTTCCCACTTTGTTCCCGCTTTGTTCCCATTCTTGTCCCACTTTGGGGTTCTTGTTCCCACTTTGTTCCCACTTTGTTCCCATTCTTGTCCCGCTTTGGGGTTCTTGTTCCCACTTTGTTCCCACTTTGTTCCCATTCTTGCCCCACTTTGGGGTTCTTGTTCCCACTTTGTTCCCACATTGTTCCCATTCTTGTCCCACTTTGGGGTTCTTGTTCCCACTTTGTTCCCACTTTGTTCCCATTCTTGTCCCACTTTGGGGTTCTTGTTCCCACTTTGTTCCCATTCTTGCCCCACTTTGGGGTTCTTGTTCCCACTTTGTTCCCACTTTATTCCCATTCTTGTCCCACTTTGGGGTTCTTGTTCCCACTTTGTTCCCACTTTGTTCCCATTCTTGTCCCACGTTGTTTGAACTTGTTCAAGTGTGTTCATACTTGTTCACCCGGCCTCCTGTGTTCCAACGTTTGTGCCTGCCACCGCTGCGCTCGCGTCCCGCGTTTTTCCTCTTTTTTGGGGGCTTGGTTTGGCGTCTTGCGTGGCTGGCTGGCTTGGGCTTTCACTTGGAACACTGGTCTGCAGAACTTCGATTCTGCCATTTTGGCTCATAGTTGGACCGCAGTTCCGTGTTTCCTTTTTTGTGGGCACAGCACTTGGCATTTGGTGCTGTCTTTGTTTTTTGACAGTGCATGTGATTGTCAAGCGCTACAGATCACAGAATTCTGTTGGCCAGTCGGTTGATGCTTCAGATCAGGATTCTCTCTGCCCTCCTGAAAGTATTCCTGATTTGGAAATTGATGGTTCGTTGCAGAGTAACTGGGATGATGCTATTTTTTCTCCAAGTGATCATTTTGATGTTCCTGGGGATACAATTGGGTGGCCCTCACCAGTGCAGCCTTCTGCATACAATCGGTGGTCACCTGAATCACAATCTGGTCGAGCAAAGCCTTATCGCTTGGGTGCGCGATTGGGATGTGCTCCCAAAGCTGCCCCTGGTCCATCATCTTGGAGTGCTCCTGCATTGATGCCCAAGTTTCGTGGTCAATCGGTGCCTTTGAGCTTGCCTTGCAGTATTCCCTTAGCATCTTGCACGCCACGTAGTTCAATGGTGAATTTTTGGACATGTGCAATACCAAAGGTCCAATCTCGTGTCGCCTTTGCTCCTGTCCAGGTGGATCGTGCGATGTGCTCGGATGCGGTGGTGCCCCAAGCATTTCCCAAACCAATGCGTGTGTCAGGTCCTTTGCAATCTATGCAGCAGGCTTTTGATTTGGCTAAGGATGCTTTGATCTTGCGTTGGAATGACTTGGTTCATGAAGCTTCTAATCACAGCGATTTATTTGTGGCTACGAAGTCGTCTGATGTGGCTTTTGAACATAGGTGTCATGCAGTCAGGAAGTTTGCTCCATCAACCATGTCAAGTTATCTTCGCTCCTGGGATTCATTTTCTGCAGACGCAGGCCATTGCCCATTCGCTCCAACAGGTGCTCAGGTTGCCGACTTTTTTGAAGACTCGGGCCACTGGTCCATTGGGCACCGCTCTTGGTTTTCACAAAGCTTTGACATGGGTTGCAAAGCATGCTGGCCTTTCTGCATTGACACAGTGTTTGCAATCATCGCTGTGCAAATCATATGTCAGTGGCACACGAATTTGTGAGAAGAGGGAGTCAGCACCATTACCACTGTTCTTTCTGGTGTTTTTGGAGTGTGCAATCATTCGTGATAGCTATCCTCCTTCCACCTTGCTGCAAATCGGATCCATCCTGCTTTTGGTCTGGAGCTCACTTCGCTGGTCCGACGGTTTGTGGGTGAGTCCGGGCAGTTTGCAACTTCAGGATGATGTTTTGTATGGCAGTGCTAGTCATACCAAGACTACCAACCGCGGCATGCCATTCGCTTGCTACACTGCTGGTTTTACTGGTCATGGCTCGACAGTGCACTGGTGTGTCAAGTGGATGAATCTTGTTATGCAAGCTGTTCATGATACAATGCAATTGCATCCAACTTTCAAGATTGATTTCTTGCTGACTGAGACAGGTGAGGATCAACAGCGACCTCTTTTTGTGCAGCCAATGTCCAGGGCTCGTGGAATCCATTTGCTGCGATACTTGTTGAGGTTGCAAGGTGAGTCGCTTGGGTTTCAGGTGGAACCAGAATATCTTCATTTGTTGGGCACGCATTCATGCAAGACAACATTGCTTTGTTGGGGGCAGCAGCTTAACCTTTCCCTGGAGTCCAGACGATTGCAGGGTCATCACAGGATGGCGGAAGGCATGGCGTCAGTTGCTTTGTATAGTCGCAGTGATGTTTTTCCAGCTGTGCAATTGCAGAGACAGATTGCAAAGAAGATTGCAGATGGGTTCCGACCGGTTCGACCCATGTTGCGTGGAGGAAGTCCACCTCTTTTTGACAAGCCTGTCATCATTCCCCCATGGCCTGCTTTTGGTCGTGTTGCTTCTCAGGTGCTGGAGGATGCCACTGTGCCACGTGAACCTCCTCCTCAGGTTGCCGATGTGGATGAGGAGGTATTTGAAAGTGGATCTGATGATTCGGCGTCGGAGCAAGAGGTGGCTGAGCCTCCTTTGGCTCCAGATTTTGGGGAGATTGATGAATTTGTTTTTCTGGTGAATACTATCTCCAATGTGGCACACATTGGCCTCACTTGTGATCTTTCAGATGGTCGTGCCATTCTTTCTGAAAATGATGTCTGGTACCGAGCAGCCTGCGGTGCTAGACCGTCGCTTGTGAATGGTGATTTGAGCCTTGCTACAGCGCTGGAACCGGGACACCGTCTCTGCCTGCGCAGGGCATGCGTTGCAGCAGTGGCATCGTGAGTTATGAGCGGTCAAAATGAAGCTTCGCTGTTGTGCATCAGTTGTTTCATTTTATGGTTGCTTTTGTACTTCATGCATTTGGTACAACACTGTGACCACTGTTGTGCCATTTCAGCAGTGCCACTAGTCCGGAGGCACCGACCATCAAATACCCATTGAAGATAGCACAGGGTTCCTTGCTGAAGCCAGCCAGGGAATTCCATCAGGTGCTGCATATATGAGTCAGGGCCGGGAGGGCACAGTCTTGGTTCAAATGAGGTCTCTAGGCTCCAATTTGGCGGGCAAAAGGGTGCACTCCTTTCAGGTTCTTTCTAGGACCCCAAAGGAGTGCATTTTTCTTGGCTTGCATCTAGGGTCGCATGCAGTGATTTCAACATGTGGCAATGCACTGGGTGCCCGCGGCACTTATGTTGATATGTGCTGCGATCCAGTGATGGATACCTAATGGTTTGTGTCTGACTTCTCCACAAGTTGACACGTCTTGTAGCGATTTTGCTCGAGTTGCACTTTTGTTCGTGGTGTGACTCGCGAGTATGGATCACACTGTGGTCCCGTTGACTCAACTGGTGGTGGCCCTCATCTGTGAGGACCCTATGTCCAATGTGGATTGGGTGGAAGCCAGCAAGGAAGCTATGAATGCAGGGTGCCAGCTCCTATCCACCCCTTTTCTTGCCTACGTGCTGCTGTGCCTTCACGAGAGCCATTTTGCAGTGGGAGCAACCAAATGGTGACACCAGTGGTATAGCACCGCGTGCTTGGCAGTATGCGGTACCACCGCGACCAGTGGTGCGTGCTGCCAGATCCTTGTCGCCTGGCCGGATTCGCCTTTGGCTGTCTGAGCTTCAGGCTGCTTCACGTTTGGTGCGGAGGCTCATCGAGTTGATCCCCACGGATCAGTGGCATGGTGAGTTACATGTGCTCTTGCTTTCCACCCAAGCTGGACTCATGGATTTGTGGACTATCACCCGCGGAGTCAGTATGATGGAGCCAGATGAAGCTGGCCTGGGCAATGGCTCAGATGAGGATGCTTGGGCCTGATCCCTTGGCAGATGGGTATAAAAAAGTGCGCAGTTTTTCTGAATGGTCTTGTCATGGTTCCAGACCCTTTCAAGTGCTGTTCATCGACATGAACTTGGGCCCGGTGGGGTTCCTGGATGTTGGCATGAACAGCATGGCCTTTAGCCACAGGTAGCACCGTCATGTGCGCTGCTCCCATGATGACTGTATGGACACCGCTGTGTCTCATCTTTCTAGTTATCAGTGGCTGCTGTCAATAGTGTTCTCTCAAGTTTAATGACATGTCTGCAACCTAGCTGTTACGTTCAATTTTCAATCTAGATTCATTCTCACAATGTTCGCATTCACCTGTGATCCTGTCTCTTGCATTGAGTTTTGCAACTTCGTTCATCATGACTCGGCCCATGGATGATCCTGCGGCTTTCCGCAAGCTACTCACTGAGTCGGCAGTGCCTGACATATTTATGGCACATATGGAATTTTTGGGTTACACAACAATTGCACTACTTGGGCATGCTGTGTCGGGTGCTGACCAAGTTGAAACGTTGGTGCAAGCATTGGTACCCCCAAGATTTGGGTGAGATTCCATCGCCGGTGTCTCCGCAGGTGTCAGCTCTTCGTCGTGCTGTTCGTACCGCTATGGAGCTTTGCAAGGATTCCCCGGGTCCTACGCCCCAGATTCAATCCTCAATGAATATCAAGGCAAAATTGTCTTTAGCTGAGTTCCGGGCTTTGAAAGACAAGTTTGTTCAGAATTTTCCTGGCGAACTGTTGACTCCAGCTAACACCCCAAGCCTTGCTTTCCTGATCTTGGTTCGTGATCAATGGGACGCTGGTACTTTGGGTTGGATTCCATGGCGGGCTCGTGTTACAGAGCAGCAGGAACTTCAATTTCAAGAGAGCCGCAAACCTAGGAATGATAATCAGCTGATTCAGAATTTGTTGTCCAGTGCCGATCTCATGGAGCATGCGGAGGCCACTGTGCCTTCAGGTGGCCCAGTGGAACCGGCTCTCCTCAAGTTCCAGTCGGTTCTTGCAAATGCTTTGGCAATGATTGAAGCAGTTCATTTGATTGTGATCAAGCGGTTTCATCACAAGTTTGCTGAGTGTGCATTGCTGGTGCCTAGAGATGGCTCATTGCGGCCGCCTACACTCCCTGAAGTGCTTGATGCTGATCGCTCAGTGTGGACTGCTGTCAATGCATGTATGCGTGACAACAATTGGAGCTTGGCTGACACTTTGAATGAGATTGCTTTTTGTCGGCAGGATATTCAGGCAAGTCTCCAGCCCCGTCTGAAGTTTGCTTCGGTAGGCCAACCAGATCGTGAGGTGCCTCCCAAAAAGAAGCCCAAGCTGACTGGTAAGGAGAAGCCTGAGGACAACCCACGTCCTAAGGATGGGAAGAAGACTGAGTCTTTCCATGCCTCTTGGTTCCGCAAGCATAAAGGAACCGGTATTTGCATCAGATGGAATACAAGCAAGTGTGGTGCTGGTGATGCTTGTCGATATCTCCATGTTTGCCCTGTGCCCAAAGCTGATGGTACCATTTGCGCAGGCAAACACACAGCAAAGGCCCACAAAGGGTCCCCCCACTGAATTCCGGCTGATGCTCCTGCATGTCACCATGTGGCTCCTCCTCTTGAGGCTCCACCTGGTAATTTTTCTTTGCAAGATTGCGATATCACTTGCAGTACAGTTGAGGGTGAGGACTTGCTTCACCCTTTTTCGAAGTCTCAAAAATTTTTGTTCTTGGACATTTTTTCAGGTGCTTCTGCCCCTCTCTCGGAGGCCCTGCGTAAGCTCCAAGCAGATTGTTTTCAGCCGATCGATTTGATTTTCGGGCCGCAGTTTGATTTGCTGGATGATGATGTATTCCATGATTTGGTTCAACTTGCATCTAGTGGTCTTGTTGGGGCACCTACTGCAGCACCATACTGCAGTAAACATTCCATGGCAACCTTGAGATGTGGGGGACCAAAGCCAGTGCGTACACCGATGTATTTGGATGGCCTGCTTACTAATACATTGCAACAGGACATGGCAGTGCAGGAGTCTGCAGCCATCCATGATCGTGCCAGGTACCTTTTAACGAGGGTCGCGGCGCGTGGTGGATTCATTGTTCTGGAAAACCCTATCTCTTCAATGACCTGGCTTGATGAGGCTATGAGCAGCTGGGTTCACTCAGTTGCACCATTCTTGGCTCATGTGGCTGCTTGTGAGTTTGGGACAGATTGGAACAAGGCTTGGCTTTTCGTGTGCAATCGCAGTACAATACATCACATTGCACGGGCGTGCTCTCACGACCCAAAATCTCATCAGCAAGTGGCTGGTGTCAGGCTTGCGGATGGGTCTTTCTTTTCGCGACTGACTGCTTGTTATCCATCATTGTTGGCCGAAGCATTGGCTGAGCTCATTTCACCTTGGGTGTCGCATAACAATGAGTTGGTGGCATTGAAGGCATGGAGGTCCTTGCTTCCTGCTAGGTTGGAATGGCCTTTTCCAATCCATCGCATTGAGGATGGTGGCGGGGTCGTTAGTTCAGCCATTTGGTCTCGACCGCTTGGTCAGGATCACTTTGCTTCGTTGAGGAAGGCCTGGTTGTCTCGCATCTTGGATTCCAAGGCTTACATCTCCATTGCTCGACATTTGCATGAAGGGTCCCTTGGGCCCCCATTGGATGATGATGCTTTGCAACCTTATCTTCAGGATCTGCTGACTGCATTCAATGTCGAGGAGCAGCATCGGGCGACTACACTGGCTATCGTGCCGGGTCAACCATTTCGGTTGTGGGTCTGGAAATTGCTTCTCACAGCACTGCAGGACTCTGATGTCGGCATGCTTGATGAACTCTCCACGGGAGTCCGGCTTGGTGTCTACACGGAGTTGCATCCATGCCCCTTGTATCCACCCAATCCACCATTGCCAACTGATTCTCCACCCTTGCTGCATTGCACATCGTCTTGGAAAAGCGCCCTGGACCACCCTGATATCGTGTCATCCATTCTCGAAGAAGAGATGCAAGCTGGGTTCATTGAACCAGTGGTGGGTGGTATGGAAGAGTTGCAGAGCAGGTTTCAGCACACAGCTGTGGGCAAGCTTGGGTTGGTACTTGCCGAATCTAGGCAGCCGCGTCTTGTGGTGGACAGCAGTGTTTCCAATGATACTTGCATCCCTAGTCGGACTCCTTTGCCTCGAATTTCTGACGTGATGGAGGTTGGACCTCCACGAGTGGCAGTACAGTCCATGCAGGGTTTGACACTGGATGTTTCAAAGGCACATCGTCGTATCAAGATTGCTGAGCAGGATGGCGGTTTGCTTTGCTTCTGGTTCCAAGGTACATTGTATCGGTGCATTACACTCAATTTTGGAGCTCGTGCGAGTGGCTACTATTGGGGAAGGTGCTCGGGGCTTATGATCAGGAGTGCCCATCACATGTTGTTTCTGAAGCACGCTGTATGGCAGTATGTTGATGATTTGCTTGCAGCCCTTGATGCAAGCAGTGCTCCGGTGTGGGCATCTCTCCTAGCAGTCCTCTTCATGGTCTTGAATATCCCAATGTCATGGCATAAGGCTGCCCTTGGACCGCGTGTGGTATGGATTGGCTGGGAAATTCATTTTGATGTCTTTTTCATTCGCATGACTGAAGAGAAGAAAGCCAAATTGCTATCCCAAGTCAAAGCAGTTTTGGATGCTAACTGTCTTGATGTGCATGAGCTGGAATCGATTATTGGTCGTTTGCTGTGGGTGACATCCTTGTGGCATTCATTACGACCACTTCTTGGCCCACTATACCAGTCGTTGGCCGTGATCCCAGCGACCCTCACTTCAGTCTCGCAGACGCAGCTGGCTCAGGTGGGGGCTGCATTGGACGACGAGCTGACTCTGACCCACAGCTTGACACATCCCTCTCTTCTCAAAGGTGTGAAAATACTGAAGGTAGGTAACACTTCGTTGGAATCCCTGGCACATTTTCGAACATTGCGGTTGAGGAGCCGTCGCATCTGGTTAGCAGTTGCAGTCCAATTTTGTGGACTTGCAAGCCTCAGCAGATGCGTGTGCCACGGAGACCTCTGCCGGTTTTGGTGGTGCTGTGTTTTTGGCCAATGGCACATCCGCCTTTTTCCAATTTGCCTTGACATTGGAAGAGGCGTCATTCATGTTTGACTGGGTGTCTGACTCAATGCAGAAGCACATTGCAGTATGGGAGTTGATGGCTCAACTGTGCCTGGCTTTTTGTTTGGTGAGCATCATGCCATGCATGGCCTCCACGGCCCGATGTATCTTTGCGATTGACAACATGTCGGCCGAGGCAGCAAGCTCGAAGGGTCTCTCCACTTCCCTTGGTCTGGATGAGATGTTGGCTGCCTGGTTCCATTTTCAAAGGGTCCATGCCTTGCAGATTGACTTGCGGCACATTCCGGGCCGATGGAATCATGTTGCTGATGATTTAAGCAGAGATAGACTTCCACAGGAGATCCATGATTCCCGCAGGATTCAGATCCCTTGGGCTTACCTTTGCAGCTTTTCGGTGACTTGTCGTCGCCCAGTGGATGCGAGATTCCCTCCATCGTTCGGTGGCTGAAAAGTCTCGGCATTTGCATTGCGCTGCAGTTGGTGCGTACATGTGTTTTTTTCCAGGGCTATGATTTTGCTCACTAATTCGTTTTTACGTAGGACTCTCTTTTTTGCGTGGCCTCTGGCCTTTGCGTTCGCGACGCGTTTTTTTCATGTAGTGTGATGTGGCTTGTGATGTTTCTTGTCCACTTCGTGTTGCATATTCTGATAGTCAATTGGGCTCCGCCCATCATCGCACTACCGTCTTTCGGGTTCGCGTGCTCGTCTCGGTCATCGAGGGCGTTTCGGGGTGGGTGTTCCGGCTGGTCGATGTCTCGAGGCGTCTTGGCTGGTCCCACCCGGTTTTTGGTTCCCTTTGGGAGCTGTGGTTGGTTCCGCTGGACCTGCTGCCGGTCTTTGGTCGTGTCTGCTGACCGATGTTGTTTCACGCTTTGCACATCCTTTGGATGTACTTGGTGACTTTGCTGGCACGCGTCTAAAAATGCGTTTGTGTGTGCTGCGCTTTCTTGCGTGGGGCACTACACTTGTTTTCGTCTAGGGTTGTCTAACGTCTTGCATTATGCACTCGGAGGTTTCTCTACACGGGTTTCTGCGACCAACTTGAGACACGGAAGGGACTAGTGTGAACGTTGTTTGAACTTGTTCAAGTGTGTTCATACTTGTTCACCCGGCCTCCTGTGTTCCAACGTTTGTGCCTGCCACCGCTGCGCTCGCGTCCCGCGTTTTTCCCCCATTTTTTGGGGGCTTGGTTTGGCGTCTTGCGTGGCTGGCTGGCTTGGGCTTTCACTTGGAACACTGGTCTGCAGAACTTCGATTCTGCCATTTTGGCTCATAGTTGGACCGCAGTTCCGTGTTTCCTTTTTCCCTCCACCACCCCCTTTTCTCCTCCATTGTGAGGTTCTCCTGGCTTTACTTCAGCCATGAGTGGGGTTAGGTGTTAAGGAGTCGTATGACTCTTGTTCTGCTTTGGTGCAGTTGCCCGCGGCTTCTGTGTTTTCCTTGATGTATAGCTCGGTGTGACGGCTGGTTCGGCTGGTCCCACCCGGTTTTTGGTTCCCTTTGGGAGCTGTGGTTGGTTCCGCTGGACCTGCTGCCGGTCTTTGGTCGTGTCTGCTGACCGATGTTGTTTCACGCTTTGCACATCCTTTGGATGTACTTGGTGACTTTGCTGGCACGCGTCTAAAAATGCGTTTGTGTGTGCTGCGCTTTCTTGCGCGGGGCACTACACTTGTTTTCGTCTAGGGTTGTCTAACGTCTTGCGTTATGCACTCGGAGGTTTCTCTACACGGGTTTCTGCGACCAACTTGAGACACGGAAGGGACTAGTGTGAACTTTGGGGTTCTTGTTCCCACTTTGTTCCCATTTTGTTCCCATTCTTGTCCCACTTTGGGGTTCTTGTCCCCACTTTGTTCCCACTTTGTTCCCACTTTGGGGTTCTTGTTCCCACTTTGTTCCCACTTTGTTCCCATTCTTGTCCCAC